TGTTTCTATTAATATATTTGTTTAACTCAATTCCTCTCTTTTTGTCTTTATTTCTGGCCCTATAGCAAGTAATACAGGATAGAGAAGAAATGCAGATCATTTAGACGTTACACGACTTCCTACTTATGCGTTTCCTCCATGGTCACGTGGTCTACTTAATTCAATAATGAGATCGCCTGCGTTTGTTCATTTTCGATGTATGTTCAAACTCAAGTGTCGGCAGCGACACTTTATTCCTATATAACAAAATTTCTTTTAGTTTTCAGATATTTCTGGTAGCTTAGGTTCAAGAAATCTAATTAGAAATTAAAGCAGAAGTTCCTTTCATTAAAAATGATCATCCATAACAAAAATTATTCTTTATCGATCGACCTCGCTTTCACAATTATGTTATCATCTCTATCAACCAATCTTCATTGTTTTTCTGTGTTTCTTTGGCTATTTTAAACTTAGATCTTATCCAATGACTAAGTTATTTTAAATTCGAAACCTCTTAAAATCAAGTCATCTCTTTTTTTTTTCATTTACCCACACACGCATGGACTCTGCCAGCTATAAATAGGAGCAGGTACTGCCTTTTGGGAGAGGGAAGTTTCCAGCAGTCAGCTCTGACAGTCGAACCGAACATTCTTGCTGTAACACTCTCGTTTGTATATGTTTGTATTACTGTTTCTGCTAATATATTTAACTCAATTCCTCTCTTTGTATCTTTATTTCTGGCTCTAACAAGGCCACAACAATATCTATCTATCTATCTATCTATCTATCTATCTATCTATCTATCTATATCTATAATTTGTTCATATCTATCTATCTATCTATCTATCTATCTATCTATCTATCTATCTATCTATGTTCATATTTCTTATGGTAATTTACCCACGCACGCATGGACTCTCCCAGCTATATATAGGAGCAGGTACTGCCTTATTGGAGAAGGAAGTTTCGGGCAGTCAGCTCTGACCGTCGGACCGAACATTCTTGCTGAAACACTCTCGTTTGTATATGTTTGTTCAATGTCTAAGTTATTTTACATTCGAAACATCTTAAAATCAAGTCATCTCTTTTTTTTTATCATTTACCCACACACGCATGGACTCTCCCAGCTATAAACAGGAGCATGTACTGTCTTTTTAGAGAGGGAAGTTTTCAGCAGTCAGCTCTGACAGTCCGACCGAACATTCTTTCTGTAACACTCTCGTTTGTATATGTTTGTATTACTGTTTCTGCTAATATATTTAACTCAATTCCTCTCTTTGTGTCTTTATTTTTGGCTCTAACAAGGCCACAACAATATCTATCTATCTATCTATCTATCTATCTATCTATCTATCTATCTATCTATATTTTGTTCATATCTATCTATCTATCTATCTATCTATGTTCATATCTCTTATGGTAAGTTACCCACGCACGCATGGACTCTCCCAGCTATATATAGGAGCAGGTACTGCCTTTTTGGAGAAGGAAGTTTCGAGCAGTCAGCTCTGACAGACGGACCGAACATTCGGCTCTAAACACGCAACTAATGTCAAAGCAAAAGGAATCGCCTTATGAGCTCGGCGTTTAAAGATCCTAGAAATTCAAAATATTTTGATTACAAAATCTAAATGACCAATATGAGTTAAAGTTCTTTAATGATATCACTCAGCTTCTAGAGAGATTTTTTTTTTATCCATGTAACAAAGATTTCTCGTGAGCCGTGATGTAATGATGCTCCAATCTAGTTTCTTTGAAAAAAAAAATCGATTTTTTAAAATCGTCCGCTAATTTTCTTTAGAAGTGTCTGTCTTTTACAGATCGCCATTAATGGAAAATTAAAGTTTTAGGATGAGTCAGAGACCTGTGAAGTCTACACTTCAAACTGAGAAAAAAAGCTTAGTTAAGTGCTAAAATAAAACAAGTATAGAAAACAAAAATGCAGACGATAAAAATCTGTTTGAAGTTGTCCAAACTTCTTAGATGAAACAAGTTTCTAATTTACAACTAGTTTTCTTCCGCCTTCTCTTATCTTTTATGGAAGTTCATAGTTAACATGGAAAATACAAAAGCAAACCTATACTTAATCATACAATCCATTCTGACAGAACGATTTGACTTAAATTCACTGCAGAAGAGCGGGGAGAAATAAAAACAATTTTCGACAAAACAAGAAATGTTGGACTGGAACTCGACAAAATAATTTATCAAAACCAAAGTCTGACTGTCTACGTAGAACTATACAATCGAGATCATAAATTTAAATAACGGTATAGAGATATCCCCAAAGAGAAATAGCACCATGGGCTTGTAAACTGTAGCATTTGATGGAGGAGGTAGATTTAGCGTCAGGCCAGGCTAAAAAGATAACCGCTCGGTTTGACTGCTGTAACCAAACTGAATGACTGGTCACTGTCGCTAGTGTATGAAGTGGTGTTAATAAGCAGCCGTCACTTGACCCTTGTATCCCAACAACAGCTTCAAAACAAAAAGCCACTCAATGTCACATTATTGTTTTATATTTGGCTAAGATGGTTTGTACCACTTTTCATAATTTAATATTTCATTTCCGAGATAAACAATTGTTAATATACATATCAATTCAATTTTTTTTCTTATTTTCGTTGATAAAGATGCTATTATAGATACATTTCGATCAAATATCTGGTCATCATCAGGCGTCTATTATTTGGCTCAAATGGGATATATGTTGATTATTGAGTTATATCTGTCATAACATTGATGTCAGTTATTGATTGTTCCTGTGGGATTCGTGCTTCACTGCTTGATTCATGGATTGAACTTGGTCGAAACATTGTGTCTATAATAACATCTATATTAACCAACATGAGAAAGATAGTTCAAAATAAGTATATTAACCAGGAAATGTTGTTAAAATTACCAGGATATTCTTCTAGTTATATGATGTATATACTCATAGGATAACATTTACAGGGGTTTTAGTAATCCCTCCTTGACCTGGAAGTGGATTAGAGACTTGTTCAGCAACCTTTCTAGAGATATTGTCTTGATAAAAGCACCGGGCTACTTGGGCTGTAAGCAGGTCCATAGTAGATAGGCTTTGATCTTCAAATATTTAAACGCAAATATTAATCGTTATCTTCTGTTTCCTTAATTCCTGTTCATTTATTGTTCTCACTCCTTGATACAGTTTTTCTTTTTCTTATTCTCTTTCTCATCCAGTAACTACCTCGCGTCTTAGTGGCTTTATTACCATGATTGGTGATTTTTTAAAAAAGCTTGATTTTCAGATTATTATATAAATTCTTATGAAACATATTTCTTATTTTTATTAAAATATATAATTTGTTTGAATTGTGTAACATTTTATCCACCCATTTTATTCAGTTAGTGGTGGTCACCGCTTGCCTCCATTTCATAACGATGGATCGAAGTCGACATTCAAGGCCGAATAGTCCAACGGCTTACCGGTTTCTTTTGCGCAGGAAATGTTGAAGTTACCCCATCCCTCCTCTCACAGGTGGATTTGTTTTTGAAGTTACCTTCGTCTAGCCTTCGCTTAAAGAGGCAGGAACTTCAAAGGCAGCAGGTGGTTTGAATTTAAAGTGTCCATCTCCGAAAATGGTTGCCACCTATAGAACCCAGTGAATTCTGCTATTTTACTCATAGCTGGGGGAGAAGAGATGGTTTCATACCTATCCCAAGGCTATTAGCGTAAGTGAATGTAATGAATTCAATTGAAATTCGAACCCGGCTCTCCGATTCCTTAATCCAAGCCACTAACTATTACTCCACCGTCTCCATGTGTACACTAATAACCCAAATAAATCCAGTATATAACATATTAATCTATATTATAAAAGAAAACCTGATTTTCTGTCCGTCACACATTTTGCTGCGTCTGACTTTGCAGTTTCGTACACAATGTTTATACATATCTGTCAGTTGTGTGAGTTACTTATATGTGCTTGTGCCATTTTATATTATTCGGCTACTCCAGTTTTCTTTCTCTTCTTTCTCACCAACACTATAACATGAACAGATACAACTTCCTCTACTGTTCGGCAATGAAAGACTCATTTGTTCTGCGTCTCAAGAGAGTAGAAGATGAAGTATGCCCAGACATGCAAGGATACAAATGTCTATTGGACTCATTACCTCATCGACACGTTACGGTCATTCCGAGAATTAAATTTTCACGCCTTAATGAATTGAATTAAAATTTTAATATAGAATGGCGTCGTCTTTAATTTTCAGAAGTCATAATCACTTCCAGATTTTTTTTTATAAAAAAGGTAAACCTGGAGAACCTTGGAGAATAAAACGGCTAAAATATTAAGATAACACAAAAAACGCAAAGAATGAATTACATATGTTCTCTTACAAGAAAAATTTTATTCTATCTAAGTTGTACATATCAGCCAAAGTTTTTTCTTTTATTAGGTTGGTGCAAAAATAATGACGTAATAATGTCGTTTTTTGACCTTAAAAAATACGTCAAAAACGACATTATTACGTCATTATTTTTGCACCAACCTAATATTAGCATTCCAAAGTTCCAGATTTAAGTGTAGAAAATCTTTAACGTTGAAGTTTCTATTAATCTTTGGTATTTTGAAACTTCATTTTTTTTCAGATTAGGAAAAAAATATCGTATGGGATTTACTTTCTATATTAAGAAATTCTATTTCAACGATATTTCCTCAAAAACTGTATTATCTTTATAAGGATAAAATATATTGATGTAATTTCAATGTCTTATGGATGGATGCTTTTTAGACTAATTCAAATTGTCATATCAGTCATGTGCATTTCATAATCTGCCTCTGTAAAAATCTCAAATATTGGCTCTTGATTTATATCTTTAGGCCATCAATAGAATCTTGTCGCTAACAATTTATGGAATGTAATATTTAAAGTTACACAAAAATTTATATTCACAGAGGAAAGAAGTCTTGCAATCAAAATGTAATTTACAGCAACTAGTACGACTATAGAATTGGTACGGGAAAGCTTTAAATGAGCGATATAATTCAGTATTAGTCAATTTCTGCGTATATAGAGGGAGATTGTGTTACGCCAATAATGCAGCAACAAGGAGATAGATAGACAGACTGATTACTGGAAAATGTTTTAGTAATAGATAGATAGATAGATAGATATGAAAAGATTGAGATAGATACGAACAGACTGAGATAGATAGATAGATAGATAGATAGATAGATAGATAGATATGAAAAGATTGAGATAGATACGAAAAGACTGAGATAGATAGATAGATAGATAGATAGATAGATAGATAGATAGATAGATAGATACGAACAGAATGAGATAGATACGAACAGAATGAGATAGAGATAGATAGATAGATAGATAGATAGATAGATAGATAGATAGATAGATAGATATGAAAAGATTGAGATAGATACGAACAGACTGAGATAGATAGATAGATAGATAGATAGATAGATAGATAGATAGATAGATATGAAAAGATTGAGATAGATACGAACAGACTGAGATAGATAGATAGATAGATAGATAGATAGATAGATAGATAGATAGATAGATATGAAAAGATTGAGATAGATACGAACAGACTGAGATAGATACGAACAGACTGAGATAGATAGATAGATAGATAGATAGATAGATAGATAGATAGATAGATATGAAAAGATTGAGATACATACGAACAGAATGAAATAGATAGATACGAACAAACTGAGATAGATAGATAGATAGATACGAACAGACTGCGATAGATAGATAGATAGATAGATAGATAGATAGATAGATAGATAGATAGATAGATAGATGACTGAATTAGAAAGAGCTATAAATCAACAGGCCTTATTCCATTTTTGTAAAAACATGACCTCTTTCAGTTTAAACACAGACTTAAACAAGTGTTGTTTATTCAAAAAAAAAAAAAAACACCCAAAGGACGAATGCATTGACCAGAGAATCAATGGTAATGTCGCATGGAATTAATTAGTGATTTGAAAAATAAAAAAAAGAAAGAATATTGTGAACATCAAGAAAAAACGAAGAGCAAGCCTGTTAGTAACGCCGACAAACTGCGACATGTGAGAGTCACTCAAACTGATACGAATTGTCAACTTTATGAATGAATGAATAATACTTTTTTTGAATGTACAAACTGCTATACAGAAAGGAATTATTAATACGTCTTTTAAAATTTATACATTCGGCCAACTTTGTTTGCTGCCTTTATCACAGTAATCCGCTCAATGTATTCATTGAGATACCTTAAAGATTGCTGATGTTGACAAATTGATTTAAAGGTTTGAGCTCAAAAGTGTCGTGCAGAATGTTACCCAAAGTTCGAAGAAATGCGATTCTAGAAATAAAATCTTCCCAACATTGAGTTTCTACCAGCTCTTTCGACGCCAGCACACTGGCTCTCAAGACGAAACAGTGTTGTGCAGAATGTTACCCCAAAGTTCGAAGAAATGCGATTCTAGAAATAAAATTTCCCCAACATTGGGTTTCTACCAGCTCTTTCGAATTCAGCACACTGGCTCTCAAGACGAAACAGTGCTGTGGAGAATGTCACCCAAAAGTTCGAAGAAATGCGATTCTAGAAATAAAATCTTCCCAACATTGAGTTTCTACCAGCTCTTTCGAAGCCAGCACACTGGCTCTCAAGACGAAACAGTGCTGTGGAGAATGTTACCCAAAAGTTCGAAGAAATGCGATTCTAGAAATAAAATCTTCCCATCATTGAGTTTCTACCAGCTCTTTCGAAGCCAGCACACTGGCTCTCAAGACGAAACAGTGCTGTGGAGAATGTTACCCAAAGTTCAAGGAAATGCGATTCTAAAAATGTTCCCAACATCTAGTTTCCATTAGATCTTTCGAATTCAGCACAGTGGTTCTCAAAACGAAACAGTGTTGTGGAGAATGTTACTCCAACGTTCGAGGAAATGCGATTCTAAAAATAACGTTATGACAACATTTAGTTTCCACCAGCTCATTCGAAGCCAGCACTGTGGCTCCCAAAGCGAAGTGGCAAAAAACTATCCTTCTTCTATGTGCAGTGTCCCTTCACGACATTGGCGATCATGGCTCTCCACAATTTCCTTTCCTTTTTAGGTCATCATAAATTATTTCTCTTTGTTATGTTTCCTAAATTCTGTTCTGCCATCCATTTACTCGAGCTCGCTAGAGAGGTTATGCGTTTTTTTCCTCTGTTCCTCGTACCTTAAATCTGTCACGTGAGTATCAAATTTTCCAAGCCCTGTTTCCTCATTATGCACTCGAGAAATTTCAACGGTCTCTTCTGATGTTGTTATGGGGTCCACACCTTTTCGGGTATAATGGACTCGTCCTGCTGCCATAAAATCGCTACAGTCAGGCAGAGAAGAGGAGTCGTGCATGAGTCGTACCGGAGTCGTCTGTGAGTGTCGGTAGTCGGATAGAGTGAAGTAACCTCTTGTAGAAGTCAGTTACAAGCACCTAGACTCTAAGGAAGTCCTACTTCGAGACTGTATATATCTATCTGTATTCGCTACTAACTGTGTTCCTGGATTTTACTAACAGCATTACCTTTTGTATTTTGTGTAAATACATTTAATTTCTTAGCTTAAATACTTGCGTTTGTCATTTATTGGATACCTATTTTTCACGCGGGATCCACAACAGATTTTAAGTATAAGTTTCCATTTTCTCTCAAACATCGTCGTTGCTTACATGTTCGGTCCATGGTATTCTCAGCATCCTTCTGTTGGACCATATTTCTTTTGCTTCAAATCTGTTAATCTGTGAGATTGTCCAGTTTTCTCTGCCATATAGAAGGACTGATATTATGTAATGGCCAAGACTTTTCTTTGTTTCTAAATACTTTACTTAGCTTTTGGAAGGCATCTTTTGCTATCCCAATGCGCCTTCGGAATGTAGCCATCTCTTCTACTCCAAGAGCTCCTCATCTCGCACCTCCCGTCTGTGGAGTCCCCTTCCTATTACTTGTTTCCCTGATAGCTTTAATCTCCAACTATTCAAATGTAAAGTCAATCGACATCCCCAGATGCCTTGATCTCTTCTTCATTCGTCCTTATCATCTTTCCCCCTATCACGCCTCTTTACTATTACTCCCACTCTCTGTAAGCCCCTTGCGTGCTAGTAAAATGCTTAAAAAATATATTTCTTAAGGGAAAAATTACGTCAGCAATACATTTTTGAAGAAAAATATTAGCATCAAAACATTTTTGAAAAATATATATATATATATATATATATATATATATATATATATATATATATATAAGGTGCAATTATAATTTATAAATTCATGAATCATTCATACAAAAACAAATATAGAGGTTAATGATTTAAAAGTCAAGAATACATCAAGATGTATTCTCGCCATTTAAATCATTAACCTCTATATTTGTTTTTTGTATGAATGATTCATGAATTTATAAATTATATTTACACCTTTAATTGAAATTAAAATAACTGCTCCAATGTGCAACTTTCGGATAATAAGTGTGACATTACTGTAATTATTGAACAATATAGTTCATGCCACATTGACGGAAAATCTTCCAGTAAAAAAAATTCTCTTTTGTACAAAAATGCACAACCTTAAAATTTAAATTCAAACTCAGCGTTGCGACCGCACGTTCCAAAACAATAACATATTTCTCATAGGATTTTTTTTGGATTACATCTCTATTTTCGTTGTCCTATTATTACCGAGAAGTAAAAACAAGAACAAAATCTATTTCCATACCTGAGGATGTCTGTAGGAACAGACGAAAGCTTGTAAAAAATTAAAAGACCTTATGCAACTGGAATTTATGAACAGGGATCATATCATTCATATACAGGTTTGGGGTTGATGTATCTTATTTATATTGTTTGCGAAGATGTATTCTCGCCATTTAAATCATTAACCTCTATATTTGTTTTTTGTATGAATGATTCATGAATTATATATATATATATATATATATATATATATATATATATATATATATATATGAAGAAAAATATATACGGAAAAAAACAAACAAAAATCCTTATATGCAATTATGCTGTTTTCATGTTAATATGTCAACGTCGGAAGTTTCGGTCTAATAAACCATCTTCCGGACATATTCATAAAATATAATTAACATTATCAATTCAACATGACAATATGTCCTGAAGATGGTTTATTAGACCGAAACGTCCGACGTTGACATATTAATATTAAAACAACATAATTGCATATAAGGATTTGTTTGTTTTTTTTTCCGTATATATTTTTCTTCATACTGTCGGATCTATATCCATATATTTGCTTACATATATATATATATATATATATATATATATATATATATATATATATATATATATTAGCAGTAATTCTTTTTGGGGAAAAGAATATTACCAGGAATAAAAGTCCTGTTGGCATTAAATAACCCATTGAAAACCAAACCGAAAAGCAGCGTTAAATTTTCCCTAATCTTTTTGATAGCACTTACTATCCCGTTTATTTATGGTTTTTTTTTTCTTCTTTCAGTCTTTGGAATTTCCTTAATCGGTGTGTTTTGATTTTTTTCAAAATTCATGATGGTATAATTTCCACAGATTTTCTTCGATTGATTATTTCATCTTCTATGGCTTATCAACCCTTTGCAGGTTATTTAAAGCCAGAAAATAATTTTAGAGAGTAAGAATATTTTTTATGACATAACAGTAGTTTAGTGATACGAGCCTTTCTGATTAGCCCATACCTGGTGGGGAGAAGAAGTATATTCATACCTTTCACAAGTTTCGGTCTATATTTCTGAGATGTAGCATGTACATTATTTACATTATTCGGACTATTGTCCTCGTCTTTGTTGCCATATTTATTACAACGTTTCAGCCTTTGTACGCTCCGGCCTTCTTCAGGTGGTTGGAATGTCGAACGAACCCTTTATTTCGCTCACTGGGGTAGACCTTTCTAGTTCCACGTGACACGTTTAATAGATATCAGTTATTAAACATGGCACGCGGAACTAGAACAGTCTACCCCAGTGAGCGAAATAAAGGTCTCGGTTCGACATTCCAACCACCTGAAGAAAGCCGGGGCGTACAACGGCCGAAACGTTGTAACTTTCACAAGGGTATTTGCGTGTAAGTGAATATAACGAACCCAACCGAAATTGAAACTCGGCTCTCCGATTAATAATTCCGAGCCATTATCCATTACACCATCCGCACATCCATGCTTACAGCCCTTGGTATTCCCAAGCGATCACCCCTCGAGGTACTGACTAGTCGCGACGTTGCTTAACTTCGGTGATTCTACGGGAACCAGTGATTCAAAGTTACATGGCCGTAAGCCCAGATCTTTATAGATTTAATGGTATCTTAACAAATATATATATATATATATATATATATATATATATATATATATATATATATATATATATATATATATATATGCATCAATTGTATCATTTTTTATCGATTTAATAAACTGTATTAATTTTTTATATCTGTTGATCTAATTTGAATTAATCTTTATTCAAGACTGGTGTAATCTAAGAGTGAACGATTGCTGTAGTCTTATTTATCGATTACGATGGATTTCCTGTCTTTTGTGCTGCTCTTTGCTATTTGCCCTCTATTGGCATTGACCGAGTTTCTTATTACCAAGCTTAATAGAATTAGTTTCAGAATTCTGAATCAGCAGAGGAATGTTACGCTAAGGTGGTTGCATAAAGGACGCTTAAACATTGGGAGTCAGAAATTTTTCCCAATATGGAATAAATGGAGATCGGGTCTTAAAAAAAGATGTGAAAAATATTATTTAAAGGATTGAAAATTTAGGTTTTTTTAACGAAACCTTTTTCTCAGAACCTTGTCTCTTTGGATCTCGTCTCGTCGATAACAAAATAAATACTCGTATTATACTCTTCGATAACAAGATGAATAATAAGACGATATTAAAGGCCTCCTCTTCATCATCAGGTTTATTAAAGACCAAAACGGTAAAATTAGACAAAGAAATAAATACAAATATAATGTGCAGGGGAAGAAGAACGGTAACAAGGCAGGGAAAAACTCAAAATAAGGGCGGCTTCTAGGCTAGTAAATAAATAATTAGTAAACAAAATGTCAGTTTTTTTTTCTTTAGCAGGTACATCTCTGCTTTTATTTTAAATATCAGGACATCCCATAAGTTCTGTCCGAATTTTGAATAAAGAAAACAATGACCAAACGTTACATTTAATTACAGATTCCATCAACGATGTATTTTCCCTGATTATCTATGACTTCCTTCCATCTGTTAACAAGCTTACTAATTCCATTACTGTAAAATTCTTTTGGCTTTAATTCGAAGAACTCACAAATGTCAGTTTTAACCTCTTTCTGTGTTACAAAAGCTGTTTCTTCCAAATTATTCTGTAAGCTACGAAACAGATGTTAGTCTGAAGGAGCAAGATCGGGAGAATAAGGTGGATGAGGAATTTTCTCCCAACCAAGTTCTTCGATCTTTTGTGACATGATTCTTGCTGTGTTAGGTCGCGCATTTTCCTGATGAAATATCACCTCTTTTCGATTCACTAGAGCAGGTCTTTTTTTTCCTCAAAGCTTGGTTCAAACGCTCTAATTGCTGACAGTATATTTGAGCATTAATTGTTGCATTAGGTGGTAAGAATTCAAAGTGGATTATTCCTTGGCGATAACACCAGATTGAAAGAAGAACCTTTTTCCCATGAAGTTCCCTTCTCGGCTGTGGCTGGGGTCCTTCCCCTTTACCAAGCCACTGTCTACGACGCTTAACATTTCGATAAAAGATCCATTTTTCATTGCCAGTCACAAGTCTATCCAAAAAATGTGAAACAAGTTGGCGAGAATGGAGAGAAGATCAGATGTCAACTCGGGATTTGAGGTTGTTTTCAGACAATTCATGAGGCATCCATTTTCCAAGTTTAGGAACTTTTCCAAGTTGTTGAAGATGACGATGAACAGCTGTATGGTTTGAACTGAGAATCACTGCCAATTCCTCAACTGATAAAGCAGGATTTTCTTCAAGGGCTGCTTCAAGAAGCTTTTCATCAAACTCAACTGGACGTCCTGTTCGATCATCATCTTCAAGGGTGAAATCTCCACCTCTGAATTTTGCAAACCATCTTCTGCAAGTTCTTTCATTCACACATTCCTCTCCATAAACTGAGTGAATGTTTCTAGCCGCTTCGGCTGCTGAGTTTCCTTTTTTGAACTCATAAAGCATTATGTGCCTCAAATGATTCTTGGGTACTTCCATGTTAGCAGGGTTTTAATCAAACAAAATTTAATTTTATTGTTGTCTGAAATAAAATTTGATCAGTTTAAATGCATCTAAACATAAAAATAATGTTCCGCTCCATTAGACATTATAAAATACTCTTTAAATTTCGTTCATTTTAACAAAACGTTAAAATTCGGACAGAACTTATGGGATGACCTGATATTTTGTCTCAGTTTTTAATCATATTTCTATTTTTTTCCGGAGAATGATATTTCTGATTATGCAGAGTTTCTTTTTTTTTTCTTAAGATATTTTTTAGATTTTAAGATTCCTTAAAGAAAAAGAATGTTCAGCTCTTGAAAAATAAGTAAAAATATAAAAATATAAAAGTATAAAATATAAATATGAATATAAATATAAAATACAAAAATATAAAAAAAATATGTAAAACTACGGATGCAACGGATTGAAACTGTTTTACCAGGTTCCTTCTCTGCTATTCTAATTTGCCATCAGCTTAAATCTCATTAGCACATCCATAATACTTATGAAATTCGACGCATTTCTACAAAATGGAAGATGTCAGGTTAAGATGGCCCGGATGTAAATGTAGGTATGAATTAGCTTTTCATGTGCTTAGCTGTTAATCGAATCAGGAATGCCCACGAAACTTTTTCAACTTCTTGCCATTAGAAAATGAAAAAGAAAAGAAAAAAAAACTATGTCATTAAATCTCGTGAGACTGAGAAGAAATTGCGTGAAACTGAAATATTTAAATCTGATCCTAATTCTAAGTTGATATTAGGCTGTCACACATGAAATGGTGTACTCTATTAATAAAACTCTTCTGAAATATTGAATGACTAATTGATTTGAAATAGGTACTATGTTGATAAATGATTATTCTCCAACGTAACTCTAAGTTCTTGATCCCATCTTTAAAAACATTCTCATCCTTTGATTTGATAAGCAGTTCAAATGCTTCGATTAGCTCTTCCTTATTGGAGAATATTTTACTGGGTATGAAAAGCTCAAAATGCTTAAGTAAGTGATAATCCGTAGGAGAGATACTAGGTGAATATGAAGGGCAATGCAAAATTTCATAATTCAGGCTATGAAGATTTTGAACAGTTGATTGAGAAGCGTGCGGCCATGCGTGCAGCAAAATTGGGCCATCTCTATTCACAATTCTAGGTTGATTTTCAACTTTTTTTGTGCATACACTCAATTTCTCCACAGTAAGGGGTTGATGGTACTATTTCCCCTTGCGGCAAGAATGAATAATGAATAACCCCTTTGAAAGGCCACCATATAGAAACCATTAACTTTTTAGGGTGCGGTGGGTGTTTTGGTTATTATTTTAGTGATTCACTTGCATCTAACCACTGGTCTACTCTCTTACTGTTGTCAAAGAGTATCGATTTCTCTTCGCATGTAATGATTCGATGCAAAAATGGTTCTTTTTCCCAGTTTGTACTCATACTGCAAGATTACCAGACATTGTTCTATCTTAATCATTTTCATTAAGATTATGAGTAACAATATATTGAAAGAAAAATTATCTGGAAAGAAAGGTAAGTAAAGAATTTATATATATATATAATACTAAGGCGGTTACTTCGTTGGACGACCGGATCAACAACCAAAAAACGCGTCATTTCATGTACGTCAACCAAATAATTTCCCTAATGGATGGAGTGGCGTTTTTCTTCTAAAATTATTTTCTCCCCTGTTTCTCTTAGGTGTGTAAGTGAATAAAGTGATGATTCTAATGTACCTTTTTTTTTTAATTCACGCAGACGCACACACACACATATACATATACATATGTATATCTTTATTTATTATAATATCTATTCATTTACTTCTGCTTATATTTGTATTTCTATTCAGGACATGGAACGTTCGAATGGGATTAGATATTTTTGCCTGCTGACTTCGAAAACTATCGCGAATAAAGTCTATTCTTATCACATGTTCAAGAAATATGATTTTTTTGTACTTATCAAAGTGACATTGTGCAGTGAATATCTATTAATATTTTAGTACGACAGAAAACTCAGAGGAATTAAGAATTCAGTTTATTTATATTTATTTATTTATTTATTTTTTGAAATCGCATAAGTTATTCCAAAATATGTGCGTGTGAAGGAAAATTTATTTAGATCTCTTGGATAAATTTCCTATTCGTTGTTGTCTTAATCACAACGTTTCGTCTGCGAGTTCCTCTGAATGTATGAGATTATGGCATCTAGGTTTTTGGGATAAAATTATCACGTGATGAAGGAATGGAAACGTAATGAAAAATAATTGATTCATTTGTTTTTCGTTTTTTTTGTTTTTTGTTTTTTTGTTTTTTTACAGTTTATTAAACTTTTATAGGTACTTCAAATTTAGAAAATATCTTGAAATTGTAAGAATCTTTTAGAGATAATAATGATTTACTGATACGTTCTACTATTTAAACCGTAACGGTTGGAAGATGGAATAAGCGCATTTCCCAGGGATATTTGCGCTTAAGGGAATAAAACGAATCCAACTGGTATATGAAACCGGCTCTCCGATTTCAAATAACGAACCGTTATCTCTCACACCACCTGAACATCCAAGCTTACTGACCACGCTCACCGTTTAATAACACGTAGGGGAACCGGTATTTCGACATGATACGGTCGTAAACTAATTTAAAAGAAGTTCAGACTAAAGCTAGTACGAATGTCCAGCCAAATATCTTATAGAAGTGAGGAAAGTTTTTTCATTTACTGAGGAAATTTTCCGACCCGATCAATCTTATTAAAAAAAAAAAAACACCCGTTTATTAATTTCGCACCCTCTCCCCAGAGAGGAAACAGTAATGTTTATAATTGGTTCCCGTTTTTTTACTGGGCCACGGTTATAATATATACGCTTTCATGATAAGACGTGCGTTGAATAATTCTATTCAATTGGATTGTTTAAGAAACAGTGTTCGATTGTCTTATACTATCCCTTGCCGAATAACCTCATTTCATTCTTTGATAAACTTTGTTTTCGAAATGTTTGTTGACACATAACACTGAATTTGAATTTGACAAAGAGGACATTCCAGACGTTTTCGTCAA